CCGTGGTTTGTTTTCTCAAGTAAGCTTTTCTGCAAAACCAAACAAGCAAGAAAAGGAGTTTAGGGGAGGATTAGTGCAGGCCAAGATTCCTCTGTTGCCACCTCACCTACCCAAGATGCCACTCACTACTGGGCACCCAAACCCCACCCAGCTCCTTTCTCCCAAGACTCCCTGTAAGCATGCACCCCACTAATGAGTCACCCACATCTGTGTTGTTTCTCTTTCACAGAATAGTGACTGCAAAGAGAGATAGCAGGGTTGGGGGGCCAGTCTCAGGTTCTACCGAGTGTAACCCGTGTGATCTTGGACAAGTCACACCTCTCTGGGTTTCAGTTTCTTCACCTCAAAATGGTTATAACACGCCAGTGTGTTTGGAGGTGAGGACTTACAGATGGCCTCAGCACTATGCAGGCCCACAGGGATGTTAGAATGAGTTAACCCCCTATCCCATCCGGGCTCAGGACTGCTGAATCTCCTTCCTACCTCTTCAAAACGTCCAGTTTCCCTTCCCAGCCTTGGAATTGCAATGCCCTGGACATGGACACAACCACAGTGGAATCTGGGCGCAAGCTTACACTCTGCGCCCCCAGTGCCTGGTGGTAGGCAGGGCAGGGGCGCCCTGAGGAGGGGCGGGAGCTGGAGAGTGCAGAGCTGAGCTGGCTCCGCGGCGCCCGGTGCACGCGCCGGGCCTGTCCTCCCCTAACCCTCCCCCAAGGCGGCCGCAGAGCGGGAGCCCGCGCCCGCCCTTACCTGAGAAGATCCTGCCGTCCCGGGTGAGGAGGGCGGCGCCCACGGGGAAATGACTGTAGGGACAGTAGGCAGACTTCTTGGCCTCGAGGCTGGAGAGCAGCAGCTGCTGGATATGCTCGGGCTCCAGGGCGCGGGCTGGACGGTCCTGGGCCATGTCGGTTCTTGTTGCGTCCTGCGCGGAAACCTGAGCTCGTAGCTGACCGCGAGCTCGAGACCGCAGCTCCTCCTTGGGGGTGTGTCGCGCTGGGAGGTCCCCGAGATTCCCAGGTGCTCGGCCTACCGGAAAGGCCCGGTGGGACCAAGCCAGAGAGATCGAGGATCTGAAGTCAAAGGGTGTGGTGTGTGGCCCGTGCTGGGGCGTGTCCCAGTGCAGAAGGGCGTGACACTCTGGGCTTTGCACTCTGGTGTAGGGACGCTCTGGCTGCTGACCCACACTGGTGGATGAGTGTGGGGAGTAGGAGTGGGTCAGTGACCCACTTGATGAACTCTACTGAAGCATAATGAGCCTCAGTTTGCTGTCCGACCTTTTCTCTCTGTCTTTGAAGAGATTAGGCTGAAAGGACAGGTCTGGGGCAACCACACTGCCTTCCTGAGGCTTGTGGCAAGAGTCTCAGCCATAAAACTTGAAGAGATTCATTACTTTCATCTATTCACCTTCTGTAGCTGGTTATTTTTGCTGTTACAGTTGTTAGGTGCTGCCGTGTCAACTACGATTCTTAGCAACTGCATGAACAAATAGCCAAAGCTTGCCTTAACCTGCGCTATCCGCATGGTCCCTGCTGAGCTTGAGCCCATTGTAACAGTCATTGCATCTGTCCATCTCACTGAGATGCAACAGGCACAAAAGCAATAAACCCCCTAAGAAATCCTTAACAATATTTTCAACATGAGAAAGATCCTTTTAGTCTTTAAGGACAATTTTGAAGACAACTTCTTTATGAAGTTCCTTTAACTGTTGAAGTTTGTCTCTCCAGCTTGCAATCTGAGTGTCACTCCCTTTGTTAACATAAACAATAGGACCTTCTGACCTTGTATCAAAGATGACCTTTTCAATGAATAAGAAGAGAAAAACGTTTTTACTCTTCAGCCAAATTACTGCTAAGTTTGCTCTAAATCACACTTTCTTGTTTTTCCATCTTTTTTTTGTTTTCCCATCTTCTTGCCCTCTTGATATGATATACAGAGTTATGTTCCCTTAAGATGCTTCAGATCAGGAAAGCCAGCATTCAGCTAATGCAGGCGTTACAAGACCAAAGAAAATACTCTAAATGAGTAGCTTAGGCACTTCCAGGTGTTGCCTCTTAACAATTTTATTGGGGTTCGTTCCCCAAAGGGAAAGTCCCTCCAGGATTCTGTTCACAGATTCAACAAAAATTGACCTGAGACAGACTAAAAGACACTGTGGTTGTTAGCAGTGACCCTACAAACAACAGATAGAAACCTCGACCTATCCTGTGCTAGCCTCATCATTTCTGATACGCTTCAACCAATTGCTGCAGTCACTATGTCAATCCATCTTGTTGAAGGCTTTCCTCACTTTCACTGACCTTTCCAAGCATGAGGACCCTTGCCAAGGAATAGCCCCTTTTAATGCCCTTAAGTACGTGAGACAAAATTTCACCATCCCTTTCTCTAACCAACACTCTGCACTTTCTCTAAGACATATCTGTTTTCAAATAAAGAACTTTGAGATCACTTGCTTGGACTTTTTCACTTTTTGTTACTAAAATGGACAATTGGGTATTGGGGTGTGTGTGTGAAGTGAAAACAAAGAGAAGTTTCTGTGCTGGCTCCACCACATTCTACATCTATAAACCAACTGTTGACAGGTTACTTGGCTTCTCTGCGACACATTTTCTCATTTAATGCCTGCTCTATATCATTGCAGGGAGCTCTGGTGGCCTAGTGGTAGGAAGCTGCACTGTCAACGCAAAGGCTGTTCCATGAGAGGAAAAAATCACCAGTCCTCTGTCATGTGACTTATAGCTTCTGAAAACTCACTGGAGGGTCAGTTATGAGTTGATTCCAACTGGAGGGCATGTAACAACATAGTGTATACTTTCTGGAGTGGAGGATCAAATGATTGCAGGATCCAGTGATGTCACAGCATGTCTCCACATATTTGGAGTTACTGTCAAGAAGTGTCGCAGACCGGGATGTGAGCGGTCTCGACACCGACCAAGGGATGTGGTGAAGATGTCAGGTGGGAACGGATTCGGCGGGACAGACAACACAACACCAGAGAGAGATTGTGATGCTGCCAACTTTACTGAGTATAAATGAACTTTTTATACAATCCTTCTTGTCACTATGCCAGATACATGACATTTACTTTGAAAAATCTAACATTTGCTGTTGTAAGAAACAGCGGACGCAAACAGATCAGTAAGCTATTAATAAAGGATAACATCATAAACATGCGGTCTTACAAGGTGCATTTCAACAAGACGCCAGACGTGTGGTTACCAGTTTGGCTACTTCTCAAAAGTTTCTTTCACTTTTTGTAAAGTCTGACAGGCGGTTGCTATATAATGAACATGGCAATAATATGACCCTTTATAATGCTCTATTGCTTTGGAAATTCCAGCTAGTACTTCAGTTTTTTCAGTAGGGTTTAATGTACACCATGGAGGCCTAGCTCGTTTTATTCTTTAACTAGTCCAAAGCTTTATACAAAGGCACATTAGAATCATTATCCAGATGACGTACAAGCATAGCAAAGGGTGTGTTATCTGATTCATTTACAGAAATATTTCTTAATATATTTTCAATGAAGTATTCAATGCTCTGAATTCTTTCAACTAGATTTGGTTGCCCCCCATTTCCAGGAACATCCAGCCTTTCTTCTAAGTAATGATTACTCACAGTGCTCTCTGACTTTCCAGGACTTTCTGGAATTGCAGGAACACTTGAAGAAGAAAAGCAAAACAGATGGAGAAAGTAACTAAACATAATAGACCCCATTCCCCAGAACACTTTATAATCCTGACTCAGCCCTAGAGTTTGAGTGAGACATCTCCACAAATATCCGGGCTTCAGCTCAACCTTTGCCTTCATCATGCTGGAGGACCCTGGCAGCCTGTAGTCACGCATCGCTTGTCACACTGATGCCGTAGACCGTGCGGCTGGCAAGGCAGGTGTGGCAAAGAAGCAGTTCGTCCAAGATAATAAACAAGGGGGAAGCCCCAGCCAGAGCATCCAGAGGTAACCCCATAGTCCCCCAACACACAGGAGAGAATCAGGGGTTTCTCTGAGGGATGGATTGAAATGTGGGTGGGAATGGGGAGCCTGAAGCTCTCTGCCACACAGACAAGTCCCCAGTTGAGCCCCTGCCAAAAAGTGGCAAAACTTGTCCCATAACCTCCTCCCATCTTCTTCCTTTCAGATTCCTGCCCTCCTATCCCATTCAAGAGGAATCCCTGGTGACAAAATGATTAAGTGGGCTACACTGCAAACCTGTCAGTGACTCCAGGAGGGAAAAGACCTGATCTCTTCCTGTAAAGATTACAAATTAATAGGCCCTATGAGATAGCTCTACTCTGTCATTTAAGGTCAGTATGAATTGGATTGAATTCAGTGGCCGGTAACAACAATCTCCTCATCCAGCCATTGGAGGATCAGCTATTTCTTCCAGTCTGTTGGAGCTAGTTGCACTTTGCTCATTAAGCTATACCTTTGGCCTCTGGACTAGACTTGTGGGGTGAGGCAGGTAGAGAGAGCAGTGAGAAGACTTTTGTGCCTCCTGCATCCTCACAGGTGCAGCACCTCAAAGACCTTCTCCCAAGATGCCAGAAAAGAAAGAAAGCACATGTTGGACTAATGCAAGCCCATGTGACACGAGCAATGATTTGACAGCCTTTGGGAGTGAAGATTGGCTAGAAGCAGGAAAGTGTATGGTGTCCTCCTGGCCTATACCAGGTCTATCAGAGACCTTTATAAGTGGTTTTGTTCTGTTCTCTGTCCTGCCTTAACTCACCCCATGCCAGACCTTGGACTGAACTGTTAGACCTCACAATGCCAGGGGAACTTGGGCAGCCTCCAAGACAAATTATGGCCCCTGGCACTTTCAAAGTTCTTTACTTCCAGATGGTCAAGGATAGGAACAGTAAGTATTCACTGCAAACAACACTGCAGAGCTTAGGAGACAGTGGTGGCTTGAAAATTCCTGGGGTGGCCATCTGGGTAGAAAGGAGAGTGAGCTCAGAGACTTGTTTAGTGCTACATGTTGTTGTTTGTTGTTATGTGCCG